CTTATATTCATTTCTAGCCTTATATTCATTTCTAGCCTTATATTCATTCCTAGCCTTATATTCATTTCTAGCCTTATATTCATTCCTAGCCTTATTCCCATTCATAACTTAAAGTTGTTGTGAACTATCTGCGGACTTCGCACGGTGTGAGTGCGGGAACAATTATTGAGAGGTCCTGCGGGTGAGGACTTCGATAAGAGTGTCCGAACAGACAGTCCAACAAAGAAATGTGTTGAAGAGATGTATGGAAATGGCGGAATGAATGAGACAAATGGATTGAATGACTATTCAGTTTAATAGTTAAGACAAGACTGAGGTGTAGTGTGGTTTAGGTGTGCGGATAGGGATACAGATATTGGCAGCACATGAGTAGTACTGCTGTGTGATTGGCTGGAGTTGTTGCTGAGGGGTACAGGTAATGGGTCAGGAGTTATAATTAGCTGGAATTACAGGTATAGTTTGGTTACAAATCTGAGTGCAATACAATTCTGGGAAAAACAATGATATTTAGAGGTCATATCATGACAAAGTATTATCTCGTTATTCATTTGCTCCTAACCTAGTAAGTGTACGAGGTGAAAAATAAACTACACACTTAAGCGTTATCTAGATGTTACAAACGTTATCACAAATTACTACAGAATTACCAAATAAATTATCTATAAATGACATAATAATGATTTAAACACATTTGACTACTTTTACATGCAAAAATGGATAAGCTATTTATTGTAGTGAGCATTATTAATTATTATACGTAACTATGCGCTCAATTACAAAGTGGCCTGGGTGATAATTGAGTTTACTATTCTATTATGACAGTTAAAGTAGTATTACATTGAGATAAAAACAATTTTTCATATAAAAGAGACTCATCATGTTGCAAACAATATCATACAAAACATTTAAACATCAAGCATCGTTTAAAAATAACAAATTTAGTAAACGGCATAAAATTGGATATGTTGAAATTAGTAGCATTTTTAACATTATTGGCGACTATTGTCACAGCAAATATTGTTTCATTTACAAAATGTGGTTAGTATAAATTGAATTCAAATTGCATTTTTGTATTTATTAGTAATTTACCATGCTTAATGCAAAAAACTATTACCATTCTAAGGTCAATATGGTGGAATCACTAACAGTATTGATATTAATGGCTGCGATAATAATCAAACGTGTAAAATCAGCGCTTATCACAATGTGTCAATCACAATTGATTACATACTTGGTAAGTTTGACCATATGTTGTTAATATTGTAATAATTACATTTATTACATTATATTAAATTAATAATTATTTATATAAAGACCAAGATATATCGGAACCCACTTACAGCGCAATCCTAACCTGGTCACCTAAACCAGGCATTGTAAATGGCGATATTTTCACCATGGCCGCCAACGCCTGCGCCCACACTCCCTGCCCAATACGTAAAGGTGTGGCCCAAAGGTTGACCATAAACCCCGCACCCCATGAGAGTGTATACACCACTGGCAGTGCTCTCAACGCACTTCTCAAGCTAACCATCGAAGACAAGGGTCGCACTTATGCGCTGTGCAGTTACGTAACCGTCGATATTATAGTCTAGGTTATTAATGGCTGAGATTTTTACCTAAATCATTAAGTAGCGTTTTTAATGTTAATGGTTTAATTACAAAAAATTTAATAAAATTTGTAGCACATAATTACGAAATATATTCTAATGATTTCTCATTATTTTAGATGTGCATATATTGCCTTAACATATTCCGATTCTTAAACTATAAAATTATTTCAGGGTTTTTATAAAAATAAAATTTACCATTATGTCCATTTCAAGACAATTGCTCAATTGACAATAATTCATGACATTTAAACTTTATTTACTTTGTAAAGTACATATGAAACGCAAATATAATTATTAATTGTTAAAGCCAATTAAAATGTTACCAATAATTATATAATAAGTGTGTAATTATCAAAGAGAGAGAGAGAGAGAGAGAGAGAGAGAGAGAATTATAGTTTATTAACAAAATTATTGTATAATATTTGATAACATTTATTGGACATAGAGTTTACTGATGAAGCTGTAAAAATGACCAGGATAAATGTTGCTACAACTACACCAATTGAATATGACATGATTATTTTCTGTATGATAATGATATCAAGAAATATCTCAATATATAGAGCCATAGTTAATGTGGATCCCATAATAAACCAATAGGTCATTAAATATTTAGACCAATAACTAGTGTTATATTTGTCTGTTTCCACATAAATACTATTCAATTCCTGTATTATTGACAGAATATTCCGTGAATTTCTTTTCATATTACAGATTCTGTTTTGAATTGACATTAATTTAATTTTTAAATAATAACACATTATATAAAAATACGATAAAAACCATATTAAATGCTTAATGGCATTAAATGTTGCCAAACCAAATACAATAGCATTGGGTACACCATATAGTAGGGCAGATGGCAAAGGTTTGTATATTAAATATGGTAATAAAAATACTAAACCAGTTATCCAGGTGTATTTACATAAAATAGAATTGTATTTAAATAACGTTTTTGTAATATTTAATAATTTACGGATAGATTGCGGGTCCGACAGACCAATACTATTGGGTGTAATGATACCCGACATCATAGCAAACACGCGTAGAAATGTGGGTTCATTACCGCACCGGTAGTTATAATAGTTAATACATTGAATGGTTATATTAAATAATGCCCCTAATACAAAGTCCACTTTTAAATGAAATGGTATTTCAATCATATGCGATATATCACCAAATATTAACACAATTGTTTCGTTTTGACCACGATTTATTAATAATATAATGTTTGCAATCATAAAATAACCAAATATTACTATTATACTAATCGGTGATGAATAACATGGTCTTTTTGTTGGTATTTTGGGTTTATATAATGATAATCCAATTCTATACAACTGATTCTCTGCTGATTGTATTCGCAATGTTTTAGGCACTAATTTATTGCATTTAATACCAGATTTTAAAACATGAACTTTGTTTGACTTTATAACCATTATATTTATTATGTTAATAATATTTTGAAATAATATTGTTTGCTTGAATACGCTGAAAATAACGCGAATTAAATCGTGAATATATTTCAACAAATTAAATATTTAATAGATAAAAAGTTATAAAATTACAATATATTTTGTATATATACAATATATTATGTAATATAATTTTAAAAAGTAATATATGCTTATAATGTCAACGAATTGTCTTGTAAAATGTCCATAATGTTCGTATTGTTGTGTTGTGTTATATTCAATTTATATTTTAGAACAAGGTTAAATATTATTATGTAATAATACTGTAAATATTAAAGACTATGACTGTATAAGTATAATATCTATAATTAGATTAAAATAAAATACTTTATAAATAGTAATTACTGATAGTAACTTACTAATTATAATTTTACATATTGTTATATGCATTTAATGCTAGAAATAATATTATGAATTATTAATTAAACTTATTAATTAATTATTATACATGTAATATAAAGTTTGTATTGAAATAAATATTTCAAACTCAAAACCAAACACTAATAATGCAAATAATATTTATTAACAGTGGTTGTTTATAACTATGTGTTTTATTATTTTACTTTACACGTAAAAGTTATAGATAAACATATTTTGATCTATGCGTTAATTTGCATCTTAATAAATAGTTATAATATGCTATTATTGCTAAGTCCTAATAGCCTATTAATTTTTAGGACATATTAACATTAAACTAAATTGTCAATTATTTGTAATTGTATTATAATAATTATACGTTTTATAAATGTTAGTTATTACTCGAAGCATGCAGGAGATAATATACTTAAACGTGATATTTGTTTAAAAAGAATATTGTTGACTAATCAATATGCAACTTTTTTTTATAGAAATAATTAATTATATTTCAATATTTATCTATCATAGTCAAAATTTGTCATAAACATTTAAAATATTTGCTTCTATGTTTAATAATGTTAAAAAAATATGTTTTTACTTTTGTGATGTTTATAATGTTTATAATAAACTTATTGCCTTAACTAAACTTTAGATAATTGTGCTTATATGAAATAAAAGTTATATTATATTATAGCAATTAAACGTTTGTCAAGTAATTTTATGTGTTTTTATAAAATGTTCAATTTATATCATTTTTTATTGGCATATGATTACAATTAAGTTAATAACATAATTAATTTAATAGCACACCGTTTATCTAGGTATTAATATTACTATAGTTTATTAACAAAACTACTGTTCAATAAGTGATAGCATTTTTTTGCCGATGAGTTAACCGATGAAGCAGTAAATATTATCATGATAAATGATAATAACATTATAACTACAGTGTACGCTAACATTATTTTTACTATAAAGTAAAGGCTGACAAATAATATAGTATATAAACATAGGATTAATTGAGAACTAAGAATAAACCAAAATGCTATTAAAAATTTAGAAAAATACGTGTTATTATAGTTGGTTATGTCATTATAAATGACATTCAATTCCCGCATTACTAACAGAATATTCCGGGAATTTCTCTCAATTTTACGGATTTTATTGTGAATTGAAATAAATCTAATTTTCAAATAATAACATAAAACATAAAAATACAATAAAAGCCATAATAAATGGTTACCGCAATTAAATGCCGTAAAACATAATACAATAGCATTAGGTACACCAAATATGAGGGCCGGTAGTAGGGGTTTGTATAGTATATACGGAACTAAACATAATAGTGAACAGATTATGGGAATAAAATATTTGCATAAAAATAAATTGAATTTAAATAAAGTTTTCATAATATTTAACAAATGAATGACAGATCGCGGGTCCGATAGACCGACACTATTGGGTGTAATAATACCCGACATCATAGCAAATACGCGTAGAAATGTGGGTTCATTACCGCACCGGTAGTTATAAATGCCAATCAATTAAAGTGATATGAAAAATATTGCCATTATTATAATCGCTACTTTCAAATGAAATGTAGCGCCACTTATCTGCACAAAATCATCAAATGCTAAAACCAATGTTTCATTTTGACCGTTATTTATTAATGATATAATGTATGCAATTAACCAATACACTAAGATAACCAAAATATTAATTGGTGATGAGTACCATGGTCGTTTAACTGATATTTTAGGTTTGTATAGAGATAACCCGCATTTATACAATTGATTCTCCGCTGATTGTATTCGCAATACTTTAGGCAATAATTTATTGCATTTTATTCCAGACATTATATTATGAACTTTATTTGATTTCAAAGCCATAATAACAATAATTTTGATATAATAATTAAATTAATAAGAATTAATAAAATATGATTAATTTGTTTAATTAAAGTTATAATTTTATTTGAATTAACTAAATAACTATAGTTAGCTTAATATATATTAAATATGATTGTATATCTCAACTTATTTAGAGCTTTAAATCTAAAATTTATATTTTTAAGTTTATAAAATGTTATAATTACAATATTTGCTATTAATATTTAGATTAAAATAATACTATACAAGAATACTAAAATTTTTAATTGTATATATAATAATAAGCATATTTAGATGCAATAATAATTTAAATATATTCATAATTTTATTATTAGAACTAAAACTTTAATAATTACAAAATAAATGATAAAACTTTTTAATATAGGGCAATAATAAGCTTAAATACCATATAAAGTTATAGATACGTAAAGTAAGATAATATAAGATAAACTTTATATTATCTTATTATGTAATTTAAAATTGTAATATAAAAACTCAAGCAAACATTAAAGTCAAACAATAATGTAAATAACTTTATTTATAATCATGATAAATTCTAATTAAAAGTTTAAATGAAAAAACTTATTATCTATACTAGAGATTCTATAATTAATTTTATATTAATACTTATAATTAAACATTAAATTAAAAAGTAATTTTAAGTAATTAAGATTTAGGTAAAGTTAAAAACTTTATAAAACAAAATCATTAATGAGTTAATAAATGGCGGCATTTAATATAAATGTTTTTTAATTATGCAGAGAGAGAGAGAGTGAGAGAGAGA